GAGTACACCCATTCCTGTGAAGATTGATCCTACTCGAGTACACCCATTCCTGTGAAGATTGATCCTACTCGAGTACACCCATTCCTGTGAAGATTGATCCTACTCGAGTACACCCATTCCTGTGAAGATTGATCCTACTCGAGTACACCCATTCCTGTGAAGATTGATCCTACTCGAGTACACCCATTCCTGTGAAGATTGATCCTATTGTAGAGTACACCCATTCCTGTGAAGATTGATCCTACTCGAGTACACCCATTCCTGTGAAGATTGATCCTACTCGAGTACACCCATTCCTGTGAAGATTGATCCTACTCGAGTACACCCATTCCTGTGAAGATTGATCCTACTCGAGTACACCCATTCCTGTGAAGATTGATCCTACTCGAGTACACCCATTCCTGTGAAGATTGATCCTACTCGAGTACACCCATTCCTGTGAAGATTGATCCTACTCGAGTACACCCATTCCTGTGAAGATTGATCCTACTCGAGTACACCCATTCCTGTGAAGATTGATCCTACTCGAGTACACCCATTCCTGTGAAGATTGATCCTACTCGAGTACACCCATTCCTGTGAAGATTGATCCTACTCGAGTACACCCATTCCTGTGAAGATTGATCCTACTCGAGTACACCCATTCCTGTGAAGATTGATCCTACTCGAGTACATCCATTCCTGTGAAGATTGATCCTACTCGAGTACACCCATTCCTGTGAAGGCTGATCCTATTGTAGAGTACAACCATTTCCTGTGAAAATTGATCCTACTCGAGTACACCCATTCCTGTGAAGATTGACACCCATTCCTGTGAAGGCTGATCCTATTGTAGAGTACAACCATTTCCTGTGAAAATTGATCTTATCTTAGAGAAACCTTCCTATAAGGGTTGAGCCAAATGTAAGTACACCCCTTCCAGTAGGGTTCATCCTAATGAAGAGTACACCTTTCTGTGCAGGATGATCCTGTTGAAGAGTACACCAATTCTTGTGAAGGTTGATCCTTTTGTGGAAGACACCCTTTCCTGTAAAAAGTAGAGTACATCCCTTCCTGTGATGGTTGATATCCTATTATAGAGTACATCCCTTCCTGTGATGGTTGATATCCTAATGTAGAGTACATACCTTCCTGTGATAGTTGATCCTACAGTAGAGTACATCCCTTCCTGTGATAGTTGATATCCTGATGTAGAGTACATCCCTTCCTGTGATGGTTGATATCCTGATGTAGAGTACATCCCTTCCTGTTATAGTTGATATCCTGATGTAGAGTACATCCCTTCCTGTGATAGTTGATATCCTAATGTAGAGTACATCCCTTCCTGTGATAGTTGATATCCTGATGTAGAGTACATCCCTTCCTGTTATAGTTGATATCCTGATGTAGAGTACATCCCTTCCTGTGATAGTTGATATCCTAATGTAGAGTACATCCCTTCCTGTGATAGTTGATATCCTGATGTAGAGTACATCCCTTCCTGTGATAGTTGATATCCTGATGTAGAGTACATCCCTTCCTGTGATAGTTGATATCCTGATGTAGAGTACATCCCTTCCTGTGATAGTTGATATCCTGATGTAGAGTACATCCCTTCCTGTGATAGTTGATATCCTGATGTAGAGTACATCCCTTCCTGTGATAGTTGATATCCTGATGTAGAGTACATCCCTTCCTGTGATAGTTGATATCCTGATGTAGAGTACATCCCTTCCTGTGATAGTTGATATCCTGATGTAGAGTACATCCCTTCCTGTGATAGTTGATATCCTGATGTAGAGTACATCCCTTCCTGTGATAGTTGATATCCTGATGTAGAGTACATCCCTTCCTGTGATAGTTGATATCCTGATGTAGAGTACATCCCTTCCTGTGATAGTTGATATCCTGATGTAGAGTACATCCCTTCCTGTGATAGTTGATATCCTGATGTAGAGTACATCCCTTCCTGTGATAGTTGATATCCTGATGTAGAGTACATCCCTTCCTGTGATAGTTGATATCCTGATGTAGAGTACATCCCTTCCTGTGATAGTTGATATCCTGATGTAGAGTACATCCCTTCCTGTGATAGTTGATATCCTGATGTAGAGTACATCCCTTCCTGTGATAGTTGATATCCTGATGTAGAGTACATCCCTTCCTGTGATAGTTGATATCCTGATGTAGAGTACATCCCTTCCTGTGATAGTTGATATCCTGATGTAGAGTACATCCCTTCCTGTGATAGTTGATATCCTGATGTAGAGTACATCCCTTCCTGTGATAGTTGATATCCTGATGTAGAGTACATCCCTTCCTGTGATAGTTGATATCCTGATGTAGAGTACATCCCTTCCTGTGATAGTTGATATCCTGATGTAGAGTACATCCCTTCCTGTGATAGTTGATATCCTGATGTAGAGTACATCCCTTCCTGTGATAGTTGATATCCTGATGTAGAGTACATCCCTTCCTGTGATAGTTGATATCCTGATGTAGAGTACATCCCTTCCTGTGATAGTTGATATCCTGATGTAGAGTACATCCCTTCCTGTGATAGTTGATATCCTGATGTAGAGTACATCCCTTCCTGTGATAGTTGATATCCTGATGTAGAGTACATCCCTTCCTGTGATAGTTGATATCCTGATGTAGAGTACATCCCTTCCTGTGATAGTTGATATCCTGATGTAGAGTACATCCCTTCCTGTGATAGTTGATATCCTGATGTAGAGTACATCCCTTCCTGTGATAGTTGATATCCTGATGTAGAGTACATCCCTTCCTGTGATAGTTGATATCCTGATGTAGAGTACATCCCTTCCTGTGATAGTTGATATCCTGATGTAGAGTACATCCCTTCCTGTGATAGTTGATATCCTGATGTAGAGTACATCCCTTCCTGTGATAGTTGATATCCTGATGTAGAGTACATCCCTTCCTGTGATAGTTGATATCCTGATGTAGAGTACATCCCTTCCTGTGATAGTTGATATCCTGATGTAGAGTACATCCCTTCCTGTGATAGTTGATATCCTGATGTAGAGTACATCCCTTCCTGTGATAGTTGATATCCTGATGTAGAGTACATCCCTTCCTGTGATAGTTGATATCCTGATGTAGAGTACATCCCTTCCTGTGATAGTTGATATCCTGATGTAGAGTACATCCCTTCCTGTGATAGTTGATATCCTGATGTAGAGTACATCCCTTCCTGTGATAGTTGATATCCTGATGTAGAGTACATCCCTTCCTGTGATAGTTGATATCCTGATGTAGAGTACATCCCTTCCTGTGATAGTTGATATCCTGATGTAGAGTACATCCCTTCCTGTGATAGTTGATATCCTGATGTAGAGTACATCCCTTCCTGTGATAGTTGATATCCTGATGTAGAGTACATCCCTTCCTGTGATAGTTGATATCCTGATGTAGAGTACATCCCTTCCTGTGATAGTTGATATCCTGATGTAGAGTACATCCCTTCCTGTGATAGTTGATATCCTGATGTAGAGTACATCCCTTCCTGTGATAGTTGATATCCTGATGTAGAGTACATCCCTTCCTGTGATAGTTGATATCCTGATGTAGAGTACATCCCTTCCTGTGATAGTTGATATCCTGATGTAGAGTACATCCCTTCCTGTGATAGTTGATATCCTGATGTAGAGTACATCCCTTCCTGTGATGGTTGATATCCTGATGTAGAGTACATCCCTTCCTGTGATGGTTGATATCCTGATGTAGAGTACATCCCTTCCTGTGATCGTTGAGATCCTACAGAAGAGTACATCCCTTCCTGTGATAGTTGATCCTACAGAAGAGTACATCCCTTCCTTTGATGGTTGATATCCTGATGTAGAGTACCTCCCTTCCTGTGATGGTTGATATCCTACAGTAGAGTACATCCCTTCCTGTGATTGTTGATATCCTACAGTAGAGTACATCCATTCCTGTGATAGTTGATCCTACAGTAGAGTACATCCCTTCCCGTGATAGATGATATCCTGATGTAGAGTACATCCCTTCCTGTGATAGTTGATATCCTAATATATGTACATCCCTTCCTGTGATGGTCGGTATCCTGATGTAGAGTACATCCATTCCTGTAATGGTTGATCCAACAGTAGAGTACATCCCTTCCTGTGATCGTTGATCCAACAGTAGAGTACATCCCTTCCTGTGATGGTTGATATCCTACAGTAGAGTACATCCCTTCCTGTGATGGTTGATATCCTAATGTAGAGTACATCCATTCCTGTGATGGTTGATATCCTAATGTAGAGTACATCCATTCCTGTGATCGTTGATATCCTACAGTAGAGTACATCCCTTCCTGTGATGGTTGATCCAACAGTAGAGTACATCCCTTCCTGTGATCCTTGATCCAACAGTAGAGTACATCCCTTCCTGTGATAGTTGATCCTACAGAAGAGTACATCCTTCCTGTGATGGTTGATATCCTACAGTAGAGTACATCCCTTCCTGTGATGGTTGATCCAACAGAAGAATACATCCCTTCCTGTGATGGTTGATATCCTGATGTAGAGTACATCCCTTCCTGTGATGGTTGATATCCTGATGTAGAGTACATTCCTTCCTGTGATGGTTGATATCCTGATGTAGAGTACATTCCTTCCTGTGATGGTTGATATCCTGATGTAGAGTACATTCCTTCCTGTGATGGTTGATATCCTGATGTAGAGTACATCCCTTCCTGTGATGGTTGATCCTACAGTAGAGTACATCCCTTCCTGTTATAGTTGATCCTACAGAAGAGTACTTCCCTTCCTGTGATCGTTGATCCAACAGTAGAGTACATCCCTTCCTGTGATCGTTGATATCCTGATGTAGAAAGCATCCCTTCCTGTGATAGTTGATATCCTGATGTAGGGCACATCCCTTCCTGTGATGGTTGATATCCTGATGTAGAGTACATCCCTTCCTGTGATAGCTGATATCCTGATGTAGAAAGCATCCCTTTCTGTGATGGTTGATCCAACAGAAGAATACATCCCTTCCTGTGATGATTGATATCCTAGAGGAGAGTACACTTTTTACTTTGAGATATCCTAATGTAGGGGGCATCCCTTCCTGTGATCGTTTATCCAACAGTAGAGTACATCCATTCCTGTGATAGTTGATCCTATAGAAGAGAACATCCCTTCCTGTGATGATTGATATCCTACAGTAGAGTACCTCCCTTCCTGTGATGGCTGATATCCTACAGTAGAGTACACCCCTTCTTGTGATGGTTGATATCCTACAGTAGAGTACATCCCTTCCTGTGATGATTGATATCCTAAAGTAGAGTACACTTTTTACTTTGAGGTTGATCCTAACTTAGTTTTTTTTTGAAAAAATTGAAAATATTTAGAGAATAATTCCTGAATTATTTTATATAATGTTGACTAGTATCACTCAGAATTATAAAATCTTCCAACAAGTGCCTCTTACAGTAAGGTATTGTCATCCATCAAATTTAAATATTAAAATCAGCTTTTCATTTACGTTGGAAGAAATCAGAAGTTATCCTTGATTGTAGTGCATTTTTTATGTTGCTATTTTAAGAAAGCACATTTGTATTAAAACGATATAAGATAATCACATTTCTGTGTTATGTATCATTATTATTTAAGTGGTCGAGTGGCGCAGTGAATAGTGCACTTGCCTATCACCAAGGCAGCCTGGGTTTGATGTCCCCGAGCGGACGTGAAAAGTTCTGGGGTCACCTGCCTGACCTAGTGGGTTTTCTCTGGGCACTCCGGTTTCCTCCTACAATTTAAACCTTAACACGTAACAAACATCAGCTGGGCCAACATGAGTGATCAATATAAGTTGAAATAACTTAGTTAATATAAATTGTTCTAAAATAAATAAAGTTAATATATTTTATACTGTGTTAACAAAAATACACTATTACAGAAAATATATATTCACACCAAAAAAATAAAGCAATCCCCGGGGAGTCCCGCATTCCATCTTGCTGCCTAAGGGTACAATAAGTGAAAATGTACATTTACATTGTATCCAGTCAAAAATTTACTATATGAACGTTCACAATCAATTAAGGTACAATTCATGAACTCCTGGGGTCATGTTTAATTATGATTATACTAAAATATTTCATCATGCATTACATCGGATATTACGCAAAGCGATGGGGAAAATCCTAAATTTGTAGATCCTTTCATTTTACATATACTTTACATTGTATGGCTGGACGAATGATGACGTTAGCGGAAGTTGGTCAGACTCGCTTTGAGGTTAAGGTGAACGGAGTAACAATACCAGTATTATGATGAGAGCTAGTCTTATCTCGAGTTTCATTTTCATTGTAACACACGGAAACATTGCTTTTAACAATATCTAGCGGATTATGTTTCTATACAACATCCTATTTCTATGAATTTTGATCGGGTAAGTATTTCCGTAACTGTATTTTTTTTTGAGAATTTCCTTAAGCTGTTAACAGGTTAAACACGTAATATTATCTAATACACGCGTTAAACAGTGTGTCAAGTCAACACTGAATCCGACCAAATGTTGGACATGGATCCTTTTGCAGGTATAGTGTTCACATGTTTGAACTTATCCGCAATGGTGGCCTAGGGAGTATGAAAGCAGAGACATATAAAGCCATGTATGGTAGCATATAGCATATACGTCACTGATGAAAGACATCAAAGAGAATTAGATCAACATTTGGTAAATTTACTAAAAAAAAAAGGTCATTCCACAGGGTTTTGACGTGATATTACTAACATAAGCCTATAATAGTCTAAGGAGTGTTTTTTTTATCTAGTCTGTTATATCTAATATCAAAGTCATGAGGTCATCCTGAGTGATGTTATATATAGCTATTTATGCCATTCTGTTCCATGTTAATGACCTGTAACTCAGAATAGGTTTGCTGACAAAATGACTAAAGTGTACATATTAGCGCGTTATGATTGAGAAGAGATAACAAAATTATCATATACTTGTTATAAACATGTTTCAGTACTCTTTTTGTTAAGACAAAAAATGCTGACTGATCCTAAAATATACACGGCAACAATCTGGACACAAAAAGCAAATAAAGTACCAAGTTGAAACTTAGTCCAAGTGCAGAGAATGGTATCAAATGTTGAAAAAACCCATTTGGAAGTACTTAATGTCTCATGTAAGCACTGAAACCTCTATACCCCCTTGTCCATGATATGGGTTGTGAGCATAGGCTACATCCCATATTGGCCCCATACATCCGCCAGCAAAACAATGTGTGCCTTATCACTTCCACTTAGCGCATTTCAGAAAAATCACACCTCAGTTACACTAACTGTTGTACTAAAATATTAACTATGTATTGTATGAAAAAACCCATCCTACCCTGTATCAACCCTCAACCTGTATTGGCCCTTGGACTGATAACGAGGTCTGTACTTTTTTGTCTACCCAACTACTTTATAATAATGTTCCTTCCCTTGTTTCCAAATTGGATATGGAGGCCCTGTATATTCCTCATGATGTTATTTCATAGGGGAGATTCTGCATGCTCAAAATTAAAAACCTAAATAAAATGTGTGTATACACCATCGAGAGACAAAAGAACCAATAAATGATATATTTAGAGTTGTTCTTTCAGATGAAACCATTAGATCTTAAATTATAGGAATAGTTTAGCCAGTTCACTGATTGAAAATGCTAAATTTAAGAGTCCATTAAATCGGAATTCTCCTTCCTAAATAGGGAGAGTTGGTAAGTATGTTATTTGTCAGAGAAAAATGTGAATTTTAGCTGAATTTATATGACATTAAGGTAAAACAACTGCGGGAGGTATAATCGTGAAGAGGAGTTCCACTTCAGAATGTTTTTTTTGTATTCTCATTTTCTCACTTTCCAAATCACACTGTCAACCCAGGAACGAGTAATAAACAACTCAATGGTTTCATTAATCGGGGTCAAAGCTAGAACTTTGTCCAACTTACAATTTACAAACGTACTCATTATATTCTAAAATGCATGTTCAATAAATGGTGTATTGATTAATTTGTCTAATGTACCGTTAGAAGTGATATGTTTATCTTATTCTTCATTCTCTATTACATAACAGTATTCTATACATTTATTTAATTGCATGAATGATATTCTACAAAACACCTTATCTAGATATGATTATGTTTCATCACACTAATTACAAAATAATCATGATACAATTACAAGTAACAGGGGAAGCAACTCTGAATCATCCCTGTTACATTATGATAATAATTGATATAATTTAACTTGAAAAATTGATGGTACTCTTTATCATTTAAAGATTTTGTTTTATGTTTAATTTATTTGAAAAGTAATTCATATATTTTATTAACGTAATAAATAAGGTGTGAAAATGAAAACTGAGGAACATTCAAATAGTCAGGTCATTTTACATGAAATAAATTGGGAATCTGGCATTAGATCATTGCATGCAAGTTAATGTAGCACAACCATTAAAGTGTATGATTTGTACACTGTTGACTTTAATTCAGATAAAAACAAAAAACATTAATCTATGCTTACAATCATGAAGAAAATATTTAGATATTGAAATAGAACCTATTTATAGAGGAATCAATGTCACATTACATGATATAAAATAAATTACATAGAAATTTATATAAAGAAAAAAGGTCTGTGAAGAAATTTGATATTAAAATGTTATATTATAACGTTAAGTGGAATCCACTACCTATGTATTTGCATAAAAACCAAGCACACCCTACTCTCCCCCATGTTGTATGACAGCTAGGTGTATACCTTTCACATGAATATCAATAGCGAATTATAGGAATTGAATTAAAACTCAACTGCCGACGTATGTATATTGTGTACAATGTACCGGTAAATTTATTTGTGAAGGATTTCTTACCAAATATAATTTTTTCATTAATCTTAAAATAATTAAAAATGCACAAATAGTTAAAATAAATGTCATAAAGAGATTTCTTAGCTTTTTTCACTTTCAGATAAAAAGAAGATTGGAAATTGGGGAATATTGCACAGTTAAGTTTAATGAGTAGCCTCCCTTTGACTGGCATAATCTCTGAATAAAATGAGAGCACATGCCTTGATCATTGTCAGGGAAGGCTCGTTCAGAAAACATGGTAGGTGTACCCAGAAAGGGGTTTCATTTGTAGCCAGCAACAAAGTCCCTGCCACTACAGAATATTTCACCATCTTATTTCATGAAAAACTTTGAAGAATGGTAATTGGTTACCATAAAATGTTCTGAAATAACCGCCTACTTTGTGTTGGGTACTTACAACTTGAAATCTTATTGAAACCCTGGTGGGGGGGGTGTTGACTATGTTTGCAATCAGTCCGTCCTTCCTTCCGTCTGAGAAGAATGTCTGGACATATCGTCTATACTATTTCACCTGGAGTAACCAGATTTGGTGTACAAGGACATTTATGGAGGGCAGAGTGCAAGAAAAAAGGTCAGTACGACCTCATTGTGACCTATGCTTTGACCTTTGACCTTAAATTTTGAAAAGATTTGTCCCGGGCATATCTTCTGTACTATTTCACCTGCAGTAACCAGATTTGGTGTACAAGGACATCTTGGGATGATGAAGTGCAGAGTGCAAGAAAAAGGTCACTGTTACCTATGACTTGACCTTTGACTTTCACTTGTGAAAATTTTCATCCGGGTCAAATCTTCCATACTATTTCACCTGGAGTAACCAGTTTGGTGTACAAGGACATTTTGGGATGGCAGAGTGCAGTTTGCAAGAATTAGGTCACTGTGACCAAGGACTTGACCTTTGACCTTCGCTTTTGAAATGTTTGTCCAGGGCACATCTTCTTTATACTATTTCACCTGAAGTAACCAGATTTGGTGAACAATGACATCTTGGGATGACGAAGTGCAGAGTGCATGAATTATGTCACTTTGACCTATGACTTGACCTTTGACTTTTACTTTTGAAAATGTTTGTCAGGGGCATATTTTCTATACCATTTCACTTGGAGTATCCAGATTTGGTGTACAAGAACATCTTTGGATGGCAGAATCCAGAGTGCGATAATTAGGTCACTGTGATGTATGACTTGACCTTTGACCTTTACTTTTGAAAAAGATTGGCAGGGCATATCTTCTGTACTTAACCAGATTTGGTGTACCAGGATATTTTGGCAAGAAGTAGGTCACTGTGACATCACTGTGACCTATGCTTCCTGACATAAGTGTACTGTTTGTTAAATATAGAAATCATTACCGGTGGGGGACTACATTCTTGATATCTAGGGGTTACGCTCACTTTCGCTCTCTACACCCCTGGAATATGTCATAGCAAAAATGAAGGCATACGGCTAGCTATTTGATTGGTGTAAGGTAAAAAAAACCTGAGCAATCACTAGTCTGATACTTGTCCTTAGAAGATTACAAAGGAGCGATGCCCAACTTCAAATCCTGTCATTTTTTTACTGTTACGCGACCGCGAGATTCTTTTGCAGAAGGATGAGACGAAATAGGGAACATAGAGGTAAACCTTTAAAATCCTTCTCTTACCATAGGGATTAAGGGATTTCATTCCAAATTGGTCTGGAGCATCCTTGGTCCAAGGGAACTCAATTTGATTTGTATAAACGTTGGGTGGGGTGCCCCTGGGGGCAGAGGAGCGGGCCCCAAAAGGGGGAATAGAGGTAAAACTTTTTAAATCCTTCTTCTATCATAGGGATAACAGGATTTTATCCCAATTTTGTCTCCATCAAGTTGTCTAGTAGTGCCTGTTACTATTAGGATGCATTCATTAAAATAAGATGGCCACCAGCCTGCCATTTTAAATTTTGACATTTGAAGTTTGTTCTCGCTATATCACCAGAAATACTGGATGGATCATTCTAAAATTTCATATGTACATACACTACCTACCATGGAGTGCTATATCTTTACCTCACATCAGGAACTTTAAACACATCCATGTGAGCGATACAGGCCCTCTTGTTCATGTTAATATTTATTTTCACCAAAGTTTAAATTTCTTTACTGCATGGGGATTTAACCATAAAAAATGAGGAGATAAAGTCATACAGATCAAATGGCTGCCTCCTTTTTATCTCATAATGCACAGGAAGTGGTTTGGTTTTATCCTTTTACAGGCATGGCCAAATACTCCTTTATTTATGTCCCCTGCAAAGA